TGATGACTTGTACTCGGCCGGACCTCGCCTTTCCCCTCAGCATACTTTCTCGCTTTGTTGCGACTAGGAGACACCGTCCTGTCCACTGGACAGCTACTGTGAAGGTGGCAAAGTACCTGGCGACTACATCAAGCATGGGGCTTGTGCTTGGAGGGACTCAGCCAGTGGCGTTGACTGGTCACTGCGACTCTTCCTACGCTGACGACGTGGAGACTCAGCGCTCGACTCAGGGTTACTGCTTCAGTCTGGGAGCTGGTGCTGTGTCGTGGAGGTCTACACGGTCGTCGTCTGTGGCTACTTCCAGTGCAGAGGCAGAGATCTACGCTGGTGCCATGGCGGCACAGGAGCTTTGCTGGTTGACCTTCTTGCTCGCCGACCTTGGTGAGCGGCCTCGCTCTGCACCGACCTTGTACGCTGACAACAAGGCCATAATCCTCCTCTGTCGAGAGCCTCGACTGGAGAGCAGAGTGAAGCATATTGACGTGAGGTACTTCCTCCTGCGAGAGCTGCAGCGACGCGGCCAGACACGCATGGACTTTGTGGCCTCAGAGGCCAACACTGCAGACGTCTTCACCAAGGCCCTAGCGCTTGGTGACCACCACAGGTTCTGTGTGCAGTTGGGGCTTGTTGAGGTATGCCCTCGGTTGCTGTAGTCTTGTTGCTTGCTCTGCTTGTTGTGCTTTCCTATATATATCCTAGTGAACTCTTGAACTGGCCTTGTGGCAGCTTGCTTGCGCTCGGAATTTGTGTGGTGTCCTTGAGATCCACCCTGAGCTTGTTTTGCTTCTTACTGACTGGTCTTGTGACTGTTTGTTCACCCTGCTTGTTCTGGTGCCCCTCACTTAGCCTATGGGGGTGTGTCAAATGTTGATATTTGTGATAGGCTGTAGTGAGTTGCTCCTTAGAGAGTATAACACAGTTAGGGTTACCTATTTGTACTGCCTTGTTTCCTAAACTCATCATTCCGTTGCATTCTACTCTTAAGACCATCACCCTTCTGAACTTCACCTACAAAGTTTTGGCGAAGGTCATGGCGGACCGGATGAAAGCCGTGCTGCACCAGGTCATCTCGCCGGAGCAGTACGGGTTCATCCCAGGGAGACGTCTTTCTGATGCAGTAGCGCTGGTACCTGACGTCATCGACGCGGCAAAGAATGGCGACAAAGACTGGTACCTGCTGTTGGTGGATTTCAAAAAGGCCTTTTGACTCTGTGTCGCGCGACTTCCTGTTTCAAGTTCTCCGGAAAATAGGCTTCCCGGACCGCTTTGTTAAAAGGATAGAGGGCCTGCACGAAAACACCACAACGAAGCTTTTGGTTAACGGCTGGCTTGGAGAAGGAATGGAGGTGGCTTCGGGTGTCAGGCAAGGTTGCCCGCTGGCGCCTTACCTTTTCCTTATCGCGGTGGAACCCTTGGCCCAGGCGGTGGAGAATGAGAAGTTGGGGCTCAGCAAGGACGAACAGCGGCTGGGCTACCTTGGTTACGCTGACGACACCACGCTGTTCCTGCAGGGGGGAGAGCAGATAGCTAAAGCGGAGGAAATTCTTGATAAATTCGAAAAAGCGTCAGGGCTAGCGACCAACAAAGGGAAATCGGTCGTGCTGCCACTGGGGGCGAATCTTGGCGCGGTCGCTGACGGCGCAGCGGTTTTCAAGTGGGCAGGGGCTGATGATGTGGAGCGCCTGCTGGGAGTATGGGCGTCGCCGTCTGGGAGCGGGCTGAAAACGTGGGAAAAGGCGTTGGAGCGGATTGCATAGAAGCTGATCAAGTGGCAGCAAAAGTACTTAACCACCACGGCGCGTGCGACAGTTGTGAACTACTAAATCATACCGATCATCGCTTTTCAGGCACAGGTGTACCTACCGCCGTCGGATGTTTGGGAGGATCTCATCCGACTTCAACACAGCTTCACATATGGAAACAGAGCTTCAGCGGCGACGGGGTTCCGTTTATGGAGCAAGGAGCTGCTGTACACATCGAGGGAATTGGGCGGGATTGGTGTAAAGGATCCCGAGATTATCATCACCTGTCTTGCGGCGATGAGAGCTGGTTTATTTCTCACGGAAGGAAACGTGCTGAAGAAGGGACTGATGGAGCTAGTGGCGGAGCTTCCTCTTGGGGTGGAATCGTTCGGGGCCCATGTGAAGCTGTTCAAGCACTGGGAAGGGCGTAGCACGCGTTGGAAGCAGACCTGTGAATGCCTCACTCGCTCGCCGCTGTGCATACGGGCGGTGGCTGACAAGAAGGAGGAGATTCTGCAGGAGAGGGTGGTTTTCAATAAAAAAAAAAATGTTGCGAGGCACCACGCCGGTCGGGGGTCAGAAAGATGCTAAGGAGCTGGTAGATCTCAAGCTCGGGGATTTATTCACTCGGGACGAGGCAGGAGATCTCGTGCAGAAATCCATGGCGGCCCTGTCGGAGTGGCTGGGGAGCAGTGGTGCAGCGAAGCTTGCGCTGAAGGCTCTGGGTTGCCTTCCTGCGTTCTGGTACAGGCAGCTGGGGTTTCCAACCGTGCTCCCTCGCTCGGCTGACTCTCCCCCACAGCTGCTGATCCTGGAAGGCGGGCAGATTGTCCCCATGAAGCGGATGAAGGAGGGTTGGAAAGGGGCTCAGAAGGAATCGTACAAGTGTGCGAAATGGGCGGCAAGATGGGGGGGGCACATCAACTGGAAAACGGCGGTGCGCACCCGTGACTCTCTGGCCGTTCCCAGCCGTCCGCGGGTTGTTCTCCTCCGGATCCACGGTCTGAACCTGCAGGTTGGGGAGCGCCTGGCGTTCCTAAGCAGCAAGCCAGTCTGCCCGTATTGCGGTGACCCAGAGACGTTGGAACACTGCCTGGTCCTCTGCCCGAGGATTCAAGTGGTTTCCACCGCACTCCGGCGCGCTCTACACATGCTCAACCCTACCCGCACGACGGACTCGCTGGGCGACCTCCTGTTTCGGGACACAGGAACCAGCTCAGCTTTTCCAGAGCTGACGTTAACATTAATTTCAATGCACCAATTGTGGCTGGAGCGATGCGATGCTATCTTCCGAGGACAGAAATTCCGCACGCAACGTGTCCTACGGAAGATAGAGCTGGCTTTTCGGCATCATGTGAAGCTGTACACCCATAAATTCGGGCCGATGTGGCGAAAACAAAGGCGGCGGGATTCTTCAGAGGAGTGGAACATGCTAAGAAGGATCAAGTTGGATGGCAACAGTTTGAAATGGACAAACACGTTTGCAGCTCTGTGGTCGGCGTAGAGGGCAAGATTCACCAGGCCCTAGGAATCTTCATATGGAGGCAGAGGTCCCCCCTCTAACTCCTCACGCACGGTTACGACCGTCTTTGTCTGTATATGCTTGTCATATCGGTGTATACATTCAAATATCATCATTAAAAAAAATGTGTATTCCTAGAACATCAATACTGGCAATACATGTATGTTACCAAATATTTGTCATCCGAGGGTATAGTCTGGAAAGTATTACTGACTATTTATTCAGATCCAATTACAGGTATATGTATGTGAGCTTGTGCAATACTTACCCTGATAGTTGTACTATATATTATTTTACTATCAATGTAGTGATACATATACTACATCAAAAGGACATAGTTGCCAGGAAGGGGTCAGGATGTGGGCCAATAGTGTCTTCGAGTGCCTGAAATGGGGGAAAGATCCCTGACACATTTTCAAAGTGTGCAGAATGGCGGGAAGTTTGATTCAAACGAAGAATGACAGCAGGGTTGTGACACCTCGAGCAGGGAGGGGCCAAGCCACAGAAGAAGATGACACAGTCGAGGCCTCTGGCGCTAATTTACTGATGAACCAATCAAAGGTGAACAGCCTGGCGCTGATTTTAGTTTTTCTGGCCGAGGGGCAGAAGAGGAAGGAAATAGGGCAGGATGGAGAGAAAATAACGGCCGAATCCCGACTGGCAACGTTCGAGGTTCACACATTTCCAAAGTTTCACCAGCGCCCTCCCTCCCAACGCTCACGGTCAACCTTCTGCCATCTTCAAATTGCATTTCCCAGATTGGCCTCGAAGTTGACGAGCAAGTGAGCGACTCGAGAGTGGAAGATTTGTGAATCTGGTGGTTCCCCCTTGGCCCCCCCCCGTGCGTCGCACATTGCCTGGCCCTTCCGCTAGTGCCCCACCTCATTTCCCAAATTCAGTATCCTGTTCTCTTCCTTACGTCTTTATCCTTACCGTTTTCGTTCCACTGACAAGAGAAACTGTTTCTTTCCCTCGATCTGTAACTTAACATTTAGCCATAGACCAGGAGCCTGTTGATTCGGCGCTGCGTTCACTCTGTTCCAACGGCCTAACTTGGGCCTTACTCCGCGTTGTTGACTACTGGAGGAAGACCTTCGCCGCCCACTAACTTATTACCTTGTGTTTCTCCTTTAGAAACCGTGGTCGGAAGGACTTCCCAGGATCAGCTCAGAGGCAAGAGTCCGAGGCATTTCACATTCCGAGGAACAATCGTCACTCCTGGTGCTGCAAGGCTTCCCGTGTGTCGGGAAGATTCAGTGTTTCGGCACTTTTGCAACGTTCGAGACAAATGATTCACATCCACGGATTTATGAGACACATTTGCCACGTCTCCAGATTCTCCTCTCAAATGTTTGAGACCTTGCGACTAACAGGCCACCAATGACCATCTAGCTTCCCTTAGAGAATTTTTTGACTACTGCTTAACACGTGTACTCTACCCCTAAACCTGACACCTGTACTTCTACCTGAACCACCCTGGATACGTGTACCTGTAGTAGCTGCCATTCTGACACCTGAACTTGACTCCTGACTCTTCGCCCATCGACAGCAGCAGCTAGAAACGACGGCGAGTGCGGAGTCGGCTTTCCAAAGAGTCTCATTCAAACATTCGCATCCCCGCAGTCGAGGAGACACCCATCGGCAAAGAAAGCACAGGGGATCAAGACAACGTATCTCCAACCTGCCACCGGTTTCTTTTATTCTTCCGTCTTCCGGAGCTGTCGTCACTGTAGGTCATGACTTCTGACAAAGCGACGACCGTCAGCAGGACGCGGCGGCAGCGTTGCAATCCGCCCGCGGGCAGGTGCCCATCCACCCGTCGCAAACGCAACCTGCCCGAGAAAACGGCCGCTCGGCGTGATCACCATGGTACCATCCCGCCGCTCCGTCACCTCCTCCCTCTCCTCCTCGCACTATGTCTCTTACCCCGCTCCGTCCTTCCCGCATCCGCGAATCCTTCCTCTGAGGGCGGCCAGGACGGGTGGTTAGATCCATCCGTCGCCTCCGCCGCTGCCGCGGTTTCGAGAATCGCCGCAGCAGGAGCAGGCGCGGGTACGCTCACCGCTTCTCGTGGCGCGGCGACGTTGGGAGCTGAGTCGCCGACCGCGACTGTCCGATCGAAGCTGAATTCGACAAAGCCAGTCACAGATCCATCGAGAAACTCCCTAGAGGAGGAGCTACCAGCAGACTCTGGGGGCGGGAAGACGGAGCGAGCAGCAGCGGTGCTGGCGGTGAATATCACGTCTGCGCCGTCGGAGCGCAGCGCGGGCAGCAACGCGTCGTTCCGGTTCGCGGCGTTCTGGTCGCCCTCGGGAAGCCCTTGCAGTAACTGCTCCTACACGTGCTCGGTGAGTGTGTGGAGGCTGACTTTTGAGTGGACTCAAAGGCCGGGAGGGAGGCGCCGTTGCCGCGACTGCACCTACGCGTGAGTGCGTGGATGGGACCCTAAATCCTGCTCATGCGAAACCCAGCCTGTGCAACCCTGCGGTCCGGCTGTGCCTCCCATGCGTTCCATCTTGAGCCCCCTATGCTGTCCGCGAATCAAATATGCGGTACTCTCTCTCGTTCTGAATGATGCACATGGCTGCTCTGCTGCTCAACCCAAACCCCTAGTGTTCACCCACCACCAATCTTCCTTCCATCCGTCCGTCCGTCCGTCCGTCCGTCCGTCCAATCTCAAACGGGCCATCCGTCTTTTCCCCCTGCCCCCCTGCCGCCGCGCGTGTGGTCGCAGATCGATGGCAAGCCCGCCACCCCGTGCAACAGGGGCCACAAGCGCTACTCCGCGCTCGAATCGGGGGAGCACACCTTCCGCGTGCGCGCCACTGCGCCGCCCTCCGCGCCCCGCGGAAACTCCGAAAATGGCACGGATGCTGCAGCCTCCCCTGCTGCTGCTGTCAGGGCGTCCGCGTCGCACACGTTCGTCGCAGGTGAGACATTTCCGTCGCATACGTTGCATGCGACAGCTCGAGCCATCTCGCATACGTCGCACACGTTGAACCCTCCTGGCACAGTTCCTGGCACGCTCCTGCCCCGCACCCCCGCCCCCGCCCCGGCCATTCTTCTGTTAGAAAACCCATGCTTTTTGCCCCGGGCCCCCTTCCGTTGAACACATTTTGAGTTTTTTGCTGATTCGATCCAGCATTTGGGTTGACCCGGCCACGCTCTGTTTTTAGCACTTGCTTCCTCCCCCCCCCCCCCCCTTTCCCCACCCTCCTCCCCCAGCCCCCACCCCGCATCTCCCCCTTGCTTCTTCCCCCGTGCCCTTATGTGCTCTCCATTTCCTCGTGCCTAACACCTGCAGATTCTCCACCAGCGGAATGTGCGCGCAGATTTCTTCTTGCCATCGCCCCCCCCGGCCCCCCACCCTATCCTTGTGTGGTACTGCTCATTCAGACCCGTCGTGCCTGGTACCCGCGGAAATCACCGCCATTCCAGTCTACTCACAACATTGCCCCTCCTCCTGCCGCTGCCCCTGCCCTTGCCCCTACCCTTGCCCGTACCCCTCTCGTACTGCTCTTTCCCAGACCCGTCGTGCCTGGTACCCGCGGAGATCACCGCCGTGCCCCCGACCAGTCTCAACGCGTCCACGCAGATCCTGCTCAACCTCTCGCGTCCCTGCCTGGGCCTCTCCTGCGCCTCCAAGAACAATTGCTCGGTGAGTGGAGAGGGGTGTGCGAAGAGAGGTGGGTGAGGGGTGCTGCGCCTCTTTCCCACCGTCCACCTTGCTTCCAATCTTCCCCTCCCCGTGCATACTGCTCAACCTCTCGCGCCCGTGCCTGGGCCTCTCGTGCTCCTCCAAGACCAATTTCTCGGTGAGCGCAGAGGGGTGGGCGCAGAGGGGTGGGTGAGGGGTGCTGCGCCTCATTTCCCTTGTTAAACACCATTCGCCCAACTTTCCCTCCCCGTGCATACTGCTCAACCTCTCGCGCCCGTGCCTGGGCCTCTCTTGTTCCTCCAAGAACAATTGCTCGGTGAGCGAGGGCAGAGGGGTGGGTGAGGCGGACAGGGGTGGGCAAAGAGGGGTGACCGAGGGGAGAGGGGTGGGCGGAGAGGGGAATGGAGAGGGGGGGAGAGGGCAGGTGAGAGTTAGGGAGAGGAGGGGAGGAGAAAATGCAATCCGAGGGGCTGAACGAAAGGAGCAGAGAGTGGCGGAGAGAGATGGAGAGGAAACGAGGTAAGTGAGAGATGCTGCTGCTTCGCCCCTTCCCATCATCCACCATCCCCCCAGCCTTCCCCACCCTGCCGCTTCCCCCTCCACAATTTCCCTTGCCCCCCTCCCTTGCTCCCCTCCCTTACTCCCTCCCTTGCCCCGCTCCCGCAGATCGTGGTTCGGGGTGGCTGCAATACACAGCACGAGTGGCGTTCACAGCCAAGTACGGCCGGGTCATAGTGCGCATGCCACGAGAGGCCTGCATGGTCCGTGCGACACGGTGGGGCTGCTGCTGCTGCTGCTGGTTCTTGAGTTTATTCAAAAGGCGCCCCCACCTCTCTCCCTTGCTCCGCTCCCGTGCTCCCCTCCCTTGCCCCGCTCTCGCAGATCGTGGTTCGGGGCCCGGCCGAGGTCGTCCCGGGGAGTTTCCAGGAGGTGGTGCCTGGGCTGCGGTACACAGCACGAGTGGCGTTCACAGCTAAGTACGGCCGCGTGATCGTGCGCATGCCACGAGAGGCCTGCATGGTCCGTGCGACGCTGGGGCAAGTCACGGATGGTGACGCTGCTGGTGCTACTGGTGGTGATGGTGGTGGTGAGGGTGCGAGTGGTGGGGCCAGTCGCAGTATCCGGATTGCAGACACGGGGTTGGCTCCTAACGATCTGAGGCCGGGCATGAGTGGGACGGCAGGAGGAGGCGGAGAGGGGGGAACCGGAGAGGCGCAAGGGGAGGGGGAGGGGGGAGTAGCGGCAGTGGAGGAAGGGGGGGAGGAGCAGTTGGTGGAGTCGTGCTCTTCTGCCTCGGTGAAGTTCAGATACGGTAGGTGTGGAGGGGGGAGTGTGTCGGGCACGTGTGAAGGGCTGAGTTTGTGAAGGGCTGAGTGTGAAGGGCTTAGTGTGAAGAGCTGAGTGTGAAGAGCTGAGTTTGTGAAGGGCTGAGTGTGAAGGGCTGAGTTTGTGAAGGGAGAGGCTTCTGTCGCCATTAGTGACATGCATGGTTTACCATACCAGCACCACTTCCTTGCTGCTTCTTCCACATCCCTTCCACCCCACATCCTCCGCGCGCCCCACACGCCCCACACACTCCACACGCCCCACACGCCCCACGAGCAGACCAGCGCGAGCTCAAGGTCGTAAACCCTGACTTGAGCCTCATTCTGGCCTTGAGGCACCTCAACAACCCTTCCCCTCGCCCTCCTCCCTCCCCTCCCTCCCTCACCCTCCTCCCCCCCCCCGCGCTCCGAGCAGACCAGCGCGAGCTCAAGGTGCGAATCACCCCTGACCTGGACCCCTCGCCCGTGTTCTTCCACGGGAAGCCGCGGCCGCTCTACACCGCTCTGCACCCATCCGACGTGCGGTTCCTGGTGCGGTTGCAGACGGCGGCGGATGGGCTGGAGGGTGCCGTGAGGGGAGCGGGCGTGGTGCGAGGGGGGAGGATAGAGCGCGTTGAGGCAATCAGCAGGAAGAAGCTTCGTGTGTGGGTGAGTTCTGAAACGTTTCCGAAGTCGGGGAGGGGGAGGGTGGGGCGGACTGAGGCGATGTTTTTTTTAGTCAACTCAAAGTAACCTCGCGTGTGGGTGAGTTTAAAGTCGTCTCGAAAGTTGAGGGGGGGGGGACGGTGGAGCGGATTGAGGCGATCAAAAGGTCGAAGCTTCGCGTGTGGATAGTTTTGATTGCTGAGCGGCAGGGGAGAGTGGGGTGAGAGGGGGCTGAATGTGGTGGCCCTTCCCTTCTCTCTCGCCCTTCCCTTCTCTCTCGCCCATCCGTTTCCTGAGACAAAATGCGTTTTCCCTTTTGCTCCCTCCTTGATTTCATCCATTCTCACCCGCAGGTGATTCCCACTGCGGCCGTCTCCCTCGTGTCTCTCTCCCTGCCTGAGGCTGCGCTCACCAATGAGTACGGGGCAGTCAGCCATGCGTCCTCGCCCGGGTTCATCCTCTATGGTATACTGCTGCTGCTGCCTCCTGCTCTCCTCTGCTGCCTGTTCTGCTGTGCTGCTTGCCCTGCTATGCTGCTTGCCCTCCTGTGCTCTGCTCTACTTCCTGCTCCTATCTTACTGCTATCTTGTCTCCCCTCCCTCCTTCCGTTTCCCTCCTGGTCGCTTCTTTCTTTTCCCCCCTCTTCCGCCCTACGCCTCCCCTCCTCCCAAACTCCCTTCCTTCCTCCTACTGTGTCCCTTTCACCTTTTGTCTCGCGTTATCCACCCCCAGCATTTATCTCACAAGTGATTCTTTATCCGTGTAAACTTCTCAGCCCACGCTGCACTCCCCTCCCCGCCTCCCCTCCCCTTCCCTCCCTCCCCTCCCTCCCCTCTTTCCCATCCCCTCCACCCCGGCAATCCCTCCCTTCCCTTCCCCAATGTCGTCCCTTCCCCGTCTTCCGCCCACCCCCCTCTCCCTTCTCACAGCCCCCGCGCCCCTGTCCGCGCAGCTCACGGCGCTCTCCCCCTCGCACGTGCTGGTTGCGCCCATGGGGGAGGCGGCAGCGGGCGTGCTGGTGGCGCTCACAGCGCCAGTGCGCGCATTCACTGCTGCGAGTGTGAGGGTGGCGGGCGCTGCTGTTCTCGGGTGAGTAAGCGAGTTCGGTGGCACGTGTGGGCGAGGGTGGGGGATTGTGGGCTGGGGGGGAGTGGGGGCGGGGGGAGCAACCCTGGCGCGCTGACTGACAGCGCCAGTGCGCGCATTCACCGCTGCGAGTGTGAGGGTGGCGGGCGCTGCTGTTGCCGGGTGAGCCGAGCGCAGCAGGCGGGACAGCTAGCAGCCTAGCGCAACCTTCATACATCATGTCAACCCACTCTTCCCGTCCCTCTTACCCTGGCTCCATCCTCTCTCCGTACACCCACTCCCCCCCTTCTCTCCCCCTCACCAGCGGTCGCTGTTGGAGTATGTGGTGAGCATTCAGCCGAGCGCAGCAGGGGAGGCAGCTGGCAGCTTAACTCAACCTGTATACTGCTCCATCCCCTTGTGCCCCTCCCAACCTCTTCTTCCCCTCTCCCCCGCACCAGCATCTACCAGCGGTCGCTGTTGGAGTATGTGGTGAGCATTCAGCCGAGCGCAGCGGGAGAGACGGCGTCTATCCATGTGCCTGCTCGGGCGCTGCAGGGCCCGGGCAACCGCAGCAACGAGCAGGCGTCCAACACTCTCACCTTCGTGCAGTGTACGTGGCACCAGGGGTGGTGGATTGTTGAATCTGGGTGGGCATGGTGTGAGGTGAGGTGATTTAAAACCCAACCGAAACCCAACCGCAGCCACGAGCAGGCGTCCAACACTCTCACCTTCGTGCAGTGTACGTGGAACATTGCGTTGCGAGTGGTGCATTGCATTGCGCGTGTTGCATTGCACGTGGTAGTTCCTATGTGGCATGAAGTGTGTCTGATTGTTCGGTCTGGGTGGGATGAGTGTCAGTGCAACCGAGTGCAGCGGTCCTTAGAAACTGAGTGCAGCGGTTCTCAAAAGTCAAAGTCTGGTTGCAGGGAGTGTAGCGGGATGCAATGCAGTGGTGTGGAGGAGGGAGCCCCATCTTGTGGGGTCGAAACCGACAGCAAGATCACACCAACTAGCTGAAAAAGTATCTGATGGCTGAAGTGCCTCCCATCTCTGGCCCTTCCCCTCCTTCATGTTCATCCCACCCTCATCTCTCCCCTCCCCCATCCTCTTTCCTCCCTCCTCCATTATCCCCCCACAGACGAGACACCAGCAGCAGCGTCGGTGGTATCAGGAGTCACAACAGCGGCAGCATCTCTCTCAATGGCCGCCTCCGCGCTGCTCTCCCTCTCCTCCTCCGCCCTCGCCCTCTCCGGCCATGCTGCTACTGCCACCTCCGCCGCCTCTACTGCCCTGCTCGCCGTGCCCTCTCGCACTCTCCTGGTGCGTAGGCTTGAGGGGTTGGTTGATGCTCAGGAGTCTGCAGTGCAGTATCCTTGTGGTTTGGTGAATCTGAGCTGCTTTTGAGAATTTCCAAGTGCACCTTCAAGTATGGGTGTTTTACCTCCCCTCCTCCCATTCTCACTTCCCCTGTCGCTCCATATCTCGCCGATTCCCGTCCCTCTCGCACTCCGTTTCCCTATCTCTCCACCTCTCTTCCCTCCACAGAACATGGCGCTCCATCTGCAGGCCATGGCGCTCTCCTCCTCCCTCGCCACGGATCTTCTTGTCGATTCAAAAACCAGCTCTCAGGTCTCTCCCCGTGTCTCCCTGTCTCTCCCTTTCCCTGTCTCTCCATTTCCATGCCTCTCCGCTTCCTCTCTTCCCTCCACAGAACATGGCGTTTCATCTGCAGGCAATGGCGCTCTCCTCCTCCCTCGCCACCGATCTCCCGCTCACCTTCTCCCAAGCGGCACAGAACCTACTCTGGATCGTACCCTCCGCCAAGCTCCCCTGGTCTCAAGATCTGAACCCGCACATGCTGCAGACTCCTGCTCCCTACGCTGCTGCTGCTGCTGCTGCTGCTGCTGCTGCTGCTGGGGAGATAGAGGGACCAGCTATGCAGACGCCCAAAACAGGAGCAGAGGCAGGAGCAGGAGCAGTCGAAACAGCAGGAGCAGGAGCAGCAGCAGCAGCCGCTGCAGTTGAAGCCCAAAGAACCACAGTCAACACCTCTGAATCCTCCCCACTTTTGGCTTCCTCCGCGTCTCTCTCCTCTCCCCTCCCTGTGACTGTCCGTATTGGCGAGGCAACATATGCGAGCGAGTCTGGGCATGCAGATAACACTTTCCCTGCTCGAAGCCCGCACAACAGGAGGCTGCTGGGGAGGGATAGCACAGGGAATGACGGAGGCGAACCAAATGGGGACCTTCAGAGGGATGTGAACGATTTGAGAGGCGGTTTCAGAGGTGTTTTGAGTGATGCAACTGTTGCTAGTGATGCGTTGAGACGTGAGTTAGGAAGCGAATCGAGTGGGTCGGGCTTGGTACGGCATTATATGAAGGGGAGGGGTGCCAAACGGCCGTCAGGGGGTGCTGGTGGTGGTGGCTTTGAAGGTGATACTAACGAGATGTTCCTCCTACTAGCACGCGCAGAAACGGCGGAGGGGAACAGAGGTGTAACCCCAAAGCATGGGCTGACTGTTGGTGTGATCCATGCAGGCGCTGCTGCTGCTGATGTTACCCCAGACCCTACTGCTGGCGCTGCTGCTGCTGATCATGCACGTGCTGTCAAGGCCGCGGATAACCCTGCTGTTCCTGCTGTTGCTCCTGCTGCTGTTGTGAAACAAGCCTCAGCTCAGCAGACTTTTGCAGACGGGGTAGCAGGAGACGATGCGGTGATGACAGGGAACGAGGAGGAGGAAGGGGACGGGGAGGAGGAGGTCGACGAGGTGGACGAGGAGGGGGACGATGGGGAGGAAGGAGAAGGGGAGGGTGTGCAAGGCATGCCTGGTCCCGCTTTCACCAGCGGTAGTGGTGATGGGGGTGCTGGTGGCGACAGCGTTGAAGATAGAAAAAGGGGCGTTGTTGCTGTTAGAGAGGGCAGCAGGGATCACAGAAGAGGGTCGTTGAACGAGACAGAGGGTGGCGAGAACGGCAGTAGTGGTGACGAGGAGAGGAAGCCAGACACCAGTTACCTTACGACCACGGAATACAAAGACCTTCAAAAGGTACGGTGGAGAGAGCGGTTGAGGGGGTTTGAGAGGCGTTTTGCAGCATTCGTGGCACAGTAAGACTGGCATGACTTGTAGTGACCACTTAAAATGTAACCTCCTCATCTATTCGCCCGAACCCCTCTTTACATCCCGCTCCTATCTCAACCCGCTCTCACCCTTCCCCACCGTTCTCCCTCCTTTTTCATCCCTCCTGCACCCGCCTGGTTTTGAAACAACATAATCAGGAGCTAGAAGCGGTTGCTGCGGGCGCTGCTTCGTATTGGGACGAGGCTGCCTCTGAGGCTCACAGCGACCTCTCCCTTACACTCCTCTCCACCCTCTCTCAACCCTCCCCACCGGTCTCTCCTCTGTGTCTCATCTCACAGGAGCTAGAAGCGGTTGCTGCGGGCGCTGCTTCGTACTGGGACGAGGCTGCTTCCGAGGCTCACAGCGACCTCATGTAAGGCGCTCTTTCTCTCTCTCTCGTAGGAGACCCTTGGTTATAATGCTGCACCTGCTGCTGCTGTTCATGTTGCCACTGCTGTTGCTCCTGTTGTTCCTATTCTGTCTAGCTGTCCAGCTCTCTAGCTCTCTACCGGTCCCAAGTTTTGAACAAGGAAGCAGAGGAGGAGGTCAATGCGCGTGATAAGACGATAGTCCAATGCTAGGCAGAAACACGCCTGAAAAGCAAATGCACGTTTGGGGTATCTCGCTGCCTGACTTCCGTTCACTCTCTTCCTAGTTTTTAGTCGACTCAAAACTGGGTATCTCGCTGCCTGACTTCCGTTCACTCTCTTCCTAGTTTTTAGTCGACTCAAAACTGGGTATCTCGCTGCCTGACTTCCGTTCACTCTCTTCCTAGTTTTTAGTCGACTCAAAACTGGGTATCTCGCTGCCTGACTTCCGTTCACTCTCTTCCTAGTTTTTAGTCGACTCAAAACTGGGTATCTCGCTGCCTGACTTCCGTTCACTCTCTTCCTCTCACCCCCTCACCTCCCCTCTTCTCCCCCCCCCTCACTCCCCTCTTTTCCCTCTTGCCAGATGGAGCAAGGCCATGGAAACCTTATTCTGGACCGCCATCCTCATCTCCTCCTTCATCCTCCTCCACCTCATCTCCCTCCTCCTCCTCCCCAAGCCTTCCTCTTCCCCATCGTCTTCCTCCTTCTCCTCCTCTTCCTCCTCCGCTGCCGTGTCTCACTCCGCCACTCCCCCTCCGTTCTCCTCCCCTCCTCCAAGCACTCCGCTTCCTTACCTCCGCTCGCCCTACGCCTTCCCCTCGCCCTACTCCCGCCACTCTCGCTCCCCCGCTTCTACCCACTCCAGCCCCGGGCTATGCTCCTCCCCTTCCCCCCCCAAGAAGCGCAGCAGCGCTTCCCCCGCTTCCAGACGCGCCTCTTCCGCCTCCCCGCCCCCCTGCGCCTCCTCCCCCTCGCTGCCCTCGTCCAACGCGCCTCTCTCCGCGCATCTGCTCTCGTTCCCGCGCCCGGAGGTCGTGCTGGGTGTGTTTCTGCTGCCCGCGCTCTCCTTCTCCATGGCTACACTCTTCCAAGGTGAGCTCAAGATCAACCCTGCCAGCCCCCCCTGCCAGCCCTCCCTGCCAGCCCTCCCTGCCAGCCCTCCCTGCCAGCCCTCCCTGCCAGCCCTCCCTGCCAATCCCCACAACCCGGAGGTGGTCCTGGGGGTGTTTCTGCTGCCCGCGCTCTCCTTCTCCATGGCTACTCTCTTCCAAGGTGAGATCAGTACCCCCCTTGCCAACCCCTTTGCCAACCCCCCCTGCTAGCCCCCTGTCAGGCCCCCCAACGCCCCCTGAGGCGCCTCGAGATACTGCTCCCTTGTCCCCTCGTCCCTTCTCTTCCCTCCTCGTCCTTCGCCCATTGCCCTCTCCCTTGTGGGCGCGGAGGCAGGGCAGCTGGTGGTGACCGTGGTCCTCCTCTTGCTCTCGCTGCTCGCTCTTCACATCGTCTCATAACTCTTGCTTCGCCCCCCTCAACCCTCTCCCTTGTGGGCGCGGAGGCAGGGCAGCTGGTAGTGACTGTGGGTCTGCTCTAGCTCCTCCCTGCTCACTATTCACATCATATAAATAATCCTCCTTGTTCCCCCTCCTCCCCTCCCTCTGCCCTCTCCCGTGCAGGCACGGCAGCTGGGCAGCTGGTGGTGGCAGTGGTGCTGCTCCTGCTGCTCGCTGCTCTCCTGCTCGCCGCTCTTCGCTTCGTCATCGCCATCTTTGCCAATGCAGGGCGGCCCCTCATTGTGTACGAGGTACGATGGAAGGACTTTCATCAGAAAAAAAAAAAAAAAAAAAAAAAAAAAAATCACGTTTTCTAACCATTTCCCACAAAAGCCTTGGGTCTTGTTGAAATTCTACTTGCCCCCCCTCTCATGATCTGGCTTTTGAGGCACCTGAGGAAACACCCTATGATTGCCGTCCTTTCCCTCTCATGGTCTCACCGGTTTTCCTGTCTCTGATTGCCGTCCTTTCCCTCTCATGGTCTCACCGGTTTTCCTGTCTCTGATTGCCGTCCTTTCCCTCTCATGGTCTCACCGGTTTTCCTGTCTCTGATTGCCGTCCTTTCCCTCTCATGGTCTCACCGGTTTTCCTGTCTCTGATTGCCGTCCTTTCCCTCTCATGGTCTCACCGGTTTTCCTGTCTCTGATTGCCGTCCTTTCCCTCTCATGGTCTCACCGGTTTTCCTGTCTCTGATTGCCGTCCTTTCCCTCTCATGGTCTCACCGGTTTTCCTGTCTCTGATTGCCGTCCTTTCCCTCTCATGGTCTCACCGGTTTTCCTGTCTCTGATTGCCGTCCTTTCCCTCTCATGGTCTCACCGGTTTTCCTGTCTCTGATTGCCGTCCTTTCCCTCTCATGGTCTCACCGGTTTTCCTGTCTCTGATTGCCGTCCTTTCCCTCTCATGGTCTCACCGGTTTTCCTGTCTCTGATTGCCGTCCTTTCCCTCTCATGGTCTCACCGGTTTTCCTGTCTCTGATTGCCGTCCTTTCCCTCTCATGGTCTCACCGGTTTTCCTGTCTCTGATTGCCGTCCTTTCCCTCTCATGGTCTCACCGGTTTTCCTGTCTCTGATTGCCGTCCTTTCCCTCTCATGGTCTCACCGGTTTTCCTGTCTCTGATTGCCGTCCTTTCCCTCTCATGGTCTCACCGGTTTTCCTGTCTCTGATTGCCGTCCTTTCCCTCTCATGGTCTCACCGGTTTTCCTGTCTCTGATTGCCGTCCTTTCCCTCTCATGGTCTCACCGGTTTTCCTGTCTCTGATTGCCGTCCTTTCCCTCTCATGGTCTCACCGGTTTTCCTGTCTCTGATTGCCGTCCTTTCCCTCTCATGGTCTCACCGGTTTTCCTGTCTCTGATTGCCGTCCTTTCCCTCTCATGGTCTCACCGGTTTTCCTGTCTCTGATTGCCGTCCTTTCCCTCTCATGGTCTCACCGGTTTTCCTGTCTCTGATTGCCGTCCTTTCCCTCTCATGGTCTCACCGGTTTTCCTGTCTCTGATTGCCGTCCTTTCCCTCTCATGGTCTCACCGGTTTTCCTGTCTCTGATTGCCGTCCTTTCCCTCTCATGGTCTCACCGGTTTTCCTGTCTCTGATTGCCGTCCTTTCCCTCTCATGGTCTCACCGGTTTTCCTGTCTCTGATTGCCGTCCTTTCCCTCTCATGGTCTCACCGGTTTTCCTGTCTCTGATTGCCGTCCTTTCCCTCTCATGGTCTCACCGGTTTTCCTGTCTCTGATTGCCGTCCTTTCCCTCTCATGGTCTCACCGGTTTTCCTGTCTCTGATTGCCGTCCTTTCCCTCTCATGGTCTCACCGGTTTTCCTGTCTCTGATTGCCGTCCTTTCCCTCTCATGGTCTCACCGGTTTTCCTGTCTCTGATTGCCGTCCTTTCCCTCTCATGGTCTCACCGGTTTTCCTGTCTCTGATTGCCGTCCTTTCCCTCTCATGGTCTCACCGGTTTTCCTGTCTCTGATTGCCGTCCTTTCCCTCTCATGGTCTCACCGGTTTTCCTGTCTCTGATTGCCGTCCTTTCCCTCTCATGGTCTCACCGGTTTTCCTGTCTCTGATTGCCGTCCTTTCCCTCTCATGGTCTCACCGGTTTTCCTGTCTCTGATTGCCGTCCTTTCCCTCTCATGGTCTCACCGGTTTTCCTGTCTCTGATTGCCGTCCTTTCCCTCTCATGGTCTCACCGGTTTTCCTGTCTCTGATTGCCGTCCTTTCCCTCTCATGGTCTCACCGGTTTTCCTGTCTCTGATTGCCGTCCTTTCCCTCTCATGGTCTCACCGGTTTTCCTGTCTCTGATTGCCGTCCTTTCCCTCTCATGGTCTCACCGGTTTTCCTGTCTCTGATTGCCGTCCTTTCCCTCTCATGGTCTCACCGGTTTTCCTGTCTCTGATTGCCGTCCTTTCCCTCTCATGGTCTCACCGGTTTTCCTGTCTCTGATTGCCGTCCTTTCCCTCTCATGGTCTCACCGGTTTTCCTGTCTCTGATTGCCGTCCTTTCCCTCTCATGGTCTCACCGGTTTTCCTGTCTCTGATTGCCGTCCTTTCCCTCTCATGGTCTCACCGGTTTTCCTGTCTCTGATTGCCGTCCTTTCCCTCTCATGGTCTCACCGGTTTTCCTGTCTCTGATTGCCGTCCTTTCCCTCTCATGGTCTCACCGGTTTTCCTGTCTCTGATTGCCGTCCTTTCCCTCTCATGGTCTCACCGGTTTTCCTGTCTCTGATTGCCGTCCTTTCCCTCTCATGGTCTCACCGGTTTTCCTGTCTCTGATTGCCGTCCTTTCCCTCTCATGGTCTCACCGGTTTTCCTGTCTCTGATTGCCGTCCTTTCCCTCTCATGGTCTCACCGGTTTTCCTGTCTCTGATTGCCGTCCTTTCCCTCTCATGGTCTCACCGGTTTTCCTGTCTCTGATTGCCGTCCTTTCCCTCTCATGGTCTCACCGGTTTTCCTGTCTCTGATTGCCGTCCTTTCCCTCTCATGGTCTCACCGTTTTCCTGTCTCTGATTGCCGTCCTTTCCCTCTCATGGTCTCACCGGTTTTCCTGTCTCTGATTGCCGTCCTTTCCCTCTCATGGTCTCACCGGTTTTCCTGTCTCTGATTGCCGTCCTTTCCCTCTCATGGTCTCACCGGTTTTCCTGTCTCTGATTGCCGTCCTTTCCCTCTCATGGTCTCACCGGTTTTCCTGTCTCTGATTGCCGTCCTTTCCCTCTCATGGTCTCACCGGTTTTCCTGTCTCTGATTGCCGTCCTTTCCCTCTCATGGTCTCACCGGTTTTCCTGTCTCTGATTGCCGTCCTTTCCCTCTCATGGTCTCACCGGTTTTCCTGTCTCTGATTGCCGTCCTTTCCCTCTCATGGTCTCACCGGTTTTCCTGTCTCTGATTGCCGTCCTTTCCCTCTCATGGTCTCACCGGTTTTCCTGTCTCTGATTGCCGTCCTTTCCCTCTCATGGTCTCACCGGTTTTCCTGTCTCTGATTGCCGTCCTTTCCCTCTCATGGTCTCACCGGTTTTCCTGTCTCTGATTGCCGTCCTTTCCCTCTCATGGTCTCACCGGTTTTCCTGTCTCTGATTGCCGTCCTTTCCCTCTCATGGTCTCACCGGTTTTCCTGTCTCTGATTGCCGTCCTTTCCCTCTCATGGTCTCACCGGTTTTCCTGTCTCTGATTGCCGTCCTTTCCCTCTCATGGTCTCACCGGTTTTCCTGTCTCTGATTGCCGTCCTTTCCCTCTCATGGTCTCACCGGTTTTCCTGTCTCTGATTGCCGTCCTTTCCCTCTCATGGTCTCACCGGTTTTCCTGTCTCTGATTGCCGTCCTTTCCCTCTCATGGTCTCACCGGTTTTCCTGTCTCTGATTGCCGTCCTTTCCCTCTCATGGTCTCACCGGTTTTCCTGTCTCTGATTGCCGTCCTTTCCCTCTCATGGTCTCACCGGTTTTCCTGTCTCTGATTGCCGTCCTTTCCCTCTCATGGTCTCACCGGTTTTCCTGTCTCTGATTGCCGTCCTTTCCCTCTCATGGTCTCACCGGTTTTCCTGTCTCTGATTGCCGTCCTTTCCCTCTCATGGTCTCACCGGTTTTCCTGTCTCTGATTGCCGTCCTTTCCCTCTCATGGTCTCACCGGTTTTCCTGTCTCTGATTGCCGTCCTTTCCCTCTCATGGTCTCACCGGTTTTCCTGTCTCTGATTGCCGTCCTTTCCCTCTCATGGTCTCACCGGTTTTCCTGTCTCTGATTGCCGTCCTTTCCCTCTCATGGTCTCACCGGTTTTCCTGTCTCTGATTGCCGTCCTTTCCCTCTCATGGTCTCACCGGTTTTCCTGTCTCTGATTGCCGTCCTTTCCCTCTCATGGTCTCACCGGTTTTCCTGTCTCTGATTGCCGTCCTTTCCCTCTCATGGTCTCACCGGTTTTCCTGTCTCTGATTGCCGTCCTTTCCCTCTCATGGTCTCACCGGTTTTCCTGTCTCTGATTGCCGTCCTTTCCCTCTCATGGTCTCACCGGTTTTCCTGTCTCTGATTGCCGTCCTTTCCCTCTCATGGTCTCACCGGTTTTCCTGTCTCTGATTGCCGTCCTTTCCCTCTCATGGTCTCACCGGTTTTCCTGTCTCTGATTGCCGTCCTTTCCCTCTCATGGTCTCACCGGTTTTCCTGTCTCTGATTGCCGTCCTTTCCCTCTCATGGTCTCACCGGTTTTCCTGTCTCTGATTGCCGTCCTTTCCCTCTCATGGTCTCACCGGTTTTCCTGTCTCTGATTGCCGTCCTTTCCCTCTCATGGTCTCACCGGTTTTCCTGTCTCTGATTGCCGTCCTTTCCCTCTCATGGTCTCACCGGTTTTCCTGTCTCTGATTGCCGTCCTTTCCCTCTCATGGTCTCACCGGTTTTCCTGTCTCTGATTGCCGTCCTTTCCCTCTCATGGTCTCACCGGTTTTCCTGTCTCTGATTGCCGTCCTTTCCCTCTCATGGTCTCACCGGTTTTCCTGTCTCTGATTGCCGTCCTTTCCCTCTCATGGTCTCACCGGTTTTCCTGTCTCTGATTGCCGTCCTTTCCCTCTCATGGTCTCACCGGTTTTCCTGTCTCTGATTGCCGTCCTTTCCCTCTCATGGTCTCACCGGTTTTCCTGTCTCTGATTGCCGTCCTTTCCCTCTCATGGTCTCACCGGTTTTCCTGTCTCTGATTGCCGTCCTTTCCCTCTCATGGTCTCACCGGTTTTCCTGTCTCTGATTGCCGTCCTTTCCCTCTCATGGTCTCACCGGTTTTCCTGTCTCTGA